TGTGCATGCTTTGTTGAATAATGTCTGGGCGGCTCAGACGCCAGGGGAAGGAGGAAGAAGGAAGGAGGTCCCGGCGTGCAGGAGAGATGTTGGGGAGCCCTCGTCTGAGCCGGGACTTTGTCTTGCTTTGCAGGGTCCTGGTGGAGTTTGCCCGCGGGACCAGGTCAGCTGGCGGGGGCAGCTTCTATACGGGCACATTTTCCCGCAGGACTCGCGCTCCATGGATGGAAAAGTAAGGGCTGCAGTGTGGACCTTTCTTGTAGGACCTCTCGGATGGGGAGAGGAGAGGGCACATGGGGAAGGTGTAAAGGAATACTGGTTGGTAGGGATGGATATCGGACCCCTCAACCTGTGGTTGCCCTTCTCAGGAAATGACCAAGAGGTGGTTTGCAGCTAAGGTCCGACTTCCCCCCTTCCCCTCCTCTCCCACCCCTTGGTCTTCCACTCACTTCCTGCCTAGTAAAGTTTAAGTGTCCCTTCCTCGGCCTCCTTTTTTTCTAATAAAAAAAAGTTTCCAGTTGGGAGTTACTCACTGTCCTTCCTCTATGTCTCATTCTCATTTCCTATTCTGATTTTTTTTCCTCACTTTACCCCATTCCTCTTTTCTTACTCATCACCTTCTCCCTTCAGTCATCTCTTCCTTTTCTAACAGTATTCCTCTTTCTCCTCCTCCTTCTATCCTCCTCTTCTCTCTTTCCCATTTCTTCCTCCTCATAATATCAATACTTCCAATGTAGAAGCCTTTTCTCTCTCTGTCTTGCTTACCCTCTTTTTCTTTCTTTCTTTTTCTCTCTTTGTCATTCTCTTTCTTTCTTCCTCCCTCTCTCCCTGAGCAGCGGGGGTTGTTGACTCGCATGTGTTTCAGAGTGATGGTGGAGAAGGCGCGCGCATCCCCCCGGGTGCGATGGCCGCGTGGTGGCGGTGGCGGGGGTGGGCAGCACCAAAACAGACCGCAGCAATTCAGGTTATAAAGCGGGAGATTACTTACTGTAGTTTCTAGTCATATAATGTTAATGGTGTTTTTTTCTTTCTTTCTATCTTTTTGTTTTAATGATGGTGAGGATTTACAGACATAGATGGCAAAAAATCCCATTACACAAGAGAAAGATATTTATTAGATGATAAATTTCTTTCTTTTGTATATATTGAGTTTCTTAGTCAAGATTTCAACACAATTGACCATGCTAGTGGATAAATTGAAATACCACAATTAGATTAGAAGATAATATCAATTATTATGATAATGATAAACGTGATTATGATAAGCAGTTTCTGTAGGTACTTTTCTTTTATACTTCGTTGTTGATATTTGTACTTTTTATCCTTTTCTTTGTTCTAAGTTTTACACACAGACATGCACACACACACACAGAATGGTAAGTTGCATGGTCTGGCATTTTGGCTAGAAAAAGAAACAATTGAAGGACAAAAGAAATCACTAAATAAATATTGTCATTTAAGGTAAACTCCAACAAGTGTCTGCAGGTAGCAGTTGTGCATTAAACAAAAACATATCAGCATATCTGATGATAACAAAAAAAATCAGACTATAATTTAGACTATAATTTCAATTCTTGGAGAGCCCCATGTGATTCTCTTGTCTGGGATATGATAAAATAGATATAATGAAAAATTCCTCAGTTTCACTTGTTCATTGGCTGGTTTTGAAGAATGTATTTGATTTTGGAGGTTTAACCCCTTTTCCCCTTCCCCCCCAATAAAAGATCATGAGACAAGGAAAGAAAAGAAGTGTGTGTGTGTGTGTGTGTGTGTGTGTGTGTGTGTGTGTGTGCGTGCACGCATGCGTGCATGTGTGCATGTGTCCTGTGTGCGTTCATGTAATTGTTAACTAGTATTCTACTCTCCATCATATATGTGAATATATACCTTCAAGAGTTGAATTATAAGAGCATACAATTATTATACATAGATCTGAAGATATGCTTTTGAAGATAGAGTTCACACAAACATTTTGTAGTTAAAGAGTAAATGTCATCAGTGATATAGATAGGGATTTGATAACTTCCGCGATAATTGCTTTAGTTACGCAATGTTTATTTGTTGATACTAGAGGAATGTAAAATTGAGCGTAGTTTCAGATATGGTGTGCAATAGGCTGATTTGCAGGATGTTTATTTTCCCAGTTTGGATGTTTTTGTGCATATCTATCAAATAACTTAGGTTGGGTCATCTTAGAGACCAAGAGAAAGTCAGTTTCATTTGGGCATTTTACAGTCACATGTGCTTAATTTTTTTCCCAATGATGCTACTACTGTTTTGCTGATTTCTCATGGTACTCTAGTTACTGCTTTAGTACTTATTGTAGGGTAGATCATTAATGCCATCTCTGAACCCAATAACCCAGGTTAAAAAAAGTTTAGCAATTGGACATGATTGCAGGGTTGTTGGCATGCATCAACAGCTTCCCCTGTTTGCAACTAGCTTGTTTGGTAGTTTGCAAGCAACATTGGGCACCTAAAAGCTTTTATTTTGATACAGATTTTGAAAATATAAAGATTTTGAAGGTTTACCTTCTCTCTAGGTACTATTGCCTAAAGCTTTACTATAGAAATGAAGCCATTATTATCGAAGAAAAACAAGCTCTGTCTTATGAGTTGATGGTGCGGGAATGGTTACTCTGTCCACAACAGATATGGCATGTATGTAGATGCCACCTGGAAGCAAGGGGTTAACCCAGTCAATACAATGATGCCGCTGTAGGTGTAGGAGTAAGCTTGGGTTTCATGTTTTCTGAACCTGTCAGTGCCTTTTGTTGACAAATCAGTCAGCCCTACCAAACCACTTCAGGCCTTTGGAAGGATGGCTTGGAAGACTCACTGGTTCAGGAAGCATCAGTTTCTTTTCTCTCTTTTGCTGTGGTGAAGTATCAATCCCCTTAACCCATTTATGAAGGGTGTCCCACATATGAGACACTTGGAAAAAAAAAAAATTGCCTGGTGTCCCGCTGGTGTGATGCTGGATCGGAGCTTGCACTCTGATTCCGTCGCATGCCGCGGCTTGTGTGTGGGCAGATTCCGGGCCAACCCCGCGTGCCGATTTTGAAGCCACCCGGAAACTATTATTTATAGCTTCAAAATGTACCCGCACTAGTGGGTTAAGGGTAGTACTTCAACTTATTTTACTCCAACCTCCTCCTCCTCCTCTTCTTTTTACTTGTTTTCCTGATAGAAGAATTGGTCTTGAATGGCAGTGGATAATTAGCAGGAAAAGTGGTTAGAGTGAATAGTTTAAACGTTTTCCTCATTAATGGTCTAGAAAGAATAAACTGGTTAGTTTTATGTATTTTCTCTATATGTCAGATAGCAGGTTTCTCTATATGTCAGATAGCAGGTACTGTTCGGTTAGTCATTTTCTTAGTGTTATTAATTCTTTTATTGTGGAAATTATTCCCATTCATAAGATTAAGGTTAGTGTATAGTTTAAGGTTAGTGTATAGTTCCCTGATTATTGTGTATTCATTAATGTCAGTAGATAGAATAGTTTATGAATTGTGTGAGAGTTACGTATTACATATGTAGAGAATTGAAGATGATATTCTTATATGAGTTGTCAACAGATTATGATAATTTATCATGAATTAGAAATATTTTTATGTGTAGCTTTTTCTTTATTTGATAATTTATAATTGGTTTTCCTAATTTCAGCTCATTTTAAGATTTGAACAAAATGTATGATAACTACGATTAAATTTTAGTTTATTATCTATTTATTTGCCATGACCCACAATCTCTTCATCAATTAAAAATGTTATCTCCATTGCAGGTATGGGCTGCCGACACGAACAGACTACAGGCTAGTCGTTGAGAACCTGTCGAGCCGTGTGTCCTGGCAGGTGAGTGGGTGGCAGGATTGGGTAGCATGTCAAGGGTGAGAGAGAAAGAGAGAGAGAGAAAGGAGATAAAAGAGAGAAAAAAGAAGGAGATATAAGAGAAAGATGGAAGACAGAGGTAAAAGTAGGAAGAAATGAGAGAGAGAGAGAGAGAGAGAGAGAGAGAGAGAGAGAGAGAGAGAGAGAGAGAGAGAGAGAGAGAGAGAGAAGAGAGAGAGAGAAGAGAGAGAGAGAGAGAGGAGGAGAGAGAGAGAGAGAGAGAGAGAGAGAGAGAGAGAGAGAGAGAGAGAGGAGAGAGAGAGAGAGAGAGAGAGAGAGAGAGAGAGAGAGAGAAGTATGAAAAAGAGGAATAAAAAAGAGAGAGAGATCAGCCTCAGAGGACTGTGCCACTCAGGAAACTGCCTCTCACTGCTGCCCAATTCCTTTTATGCCTTTGCATTCAACTTTGTGCCTTTGGCTTTGGGGAGAGCAGGTGTATGGCACAGGTGTTCTTGCACTGGCATGGTCAGGTAGGTTTCATCTTTTATGGTAACTTTATTTATTTATTTATATATTTTGTGATATGTTTATTATCATTGTTGTTGTCATGATCATTATTGTTATTGAGTGTTTTCTTTCCTGTTTTTATTTGTATTTTTGGAATGGCTGCAAACTTTTGTGTGGAGGTGAATTGCTCTATTGTGGAGGAGGATACAGAACCCCTTGTTTTTAATCACATTTAGTTTTTTCTTGGTATTTGTTTTCATTTTTTCTTGAATTCTAAGTTTTTTTTCTAGACTCATTTATTTTTTATATTATTTTAGCTTCTTGGTTTTTAAGTTTTTATATGATTTTCCCTCTATTTTATATTTTTGTCAAGAAACCATGATTACTTTATGATGTGTAGGATGACTTAATCATGTGAGGATAATTTTTTTAATGCATTTTTTTGTAGTTGATTTATATTTATATGTAGATATTTTATTTATTTTATAACTTACTTGTTTTTTTTTCATTCATTTTTCTTCATTACCATCCTGTGTTTATGTTATGGTCATAAGTTTAGGGTCATAAATATATCTAGAATATGTTAGAGCTAAAAAAGAAAAAAAGAGAGATTATAAGGCAGACAATGATAGAAATAAAAAATAATCATGTTTTCATGACTTTA